TAGGGTTTCGGATTTTGGGTTTAGGGGTTTTGGGGTTTAGGGCTGGGCTTAGGGTTTAGAGGGGTTTCTATATCGTTCGACGGGTTCCGAAAAAATGTCATTGGTTTGTATCGGAGTTCCATAACGGGTTTATCGGCATTTGTTAAGGTTCGGTGAACGTTTGGGGCTTGGGGTTTAAGACTTGTTGGGGTTCAGGGTGAGGGTATTGCTTTGGGCTGCAAGGCTCACACTTGCAGGCGTTAGGGCTTCGGGTTCAGGACACAGGGTTTAGGGTTTATTGGTTTGGGGTTTAGGATTTACGGTTTAGGTTTAGGAGAAGCATGATGCCAAGCTGCACATGGAGCCCTCAAACCCCCTAAACGCTCAGCCCGAAAACTCCAAAGTCTAAAACTCTGCACCCTAAATCCCTGAACCCCAGACCCTGAATCTTTCAGATGGGCTCATTACTTCAAGTTCAGGGACTGTGGCACGCCACAACCGAAACTCACCACTCCCCAACATCCCAAACGCCACACCGGTAAACTCTACCAGGATTTACTGCTTCAGGTTGTTACGGCTTTTTGGATGTAGGGTTTACAGGTTTAAGGCTTTAGGGCTTTTGCGGTTTAGGTCTTACAGTGTCTTACAGTTTACCGTACATCCCAAAACCCGAACCCCATACACTTGCAATCGCATCACTCAACTGGGCCAACGCCAACCTCCCCAAAAGAGTTCTGCTAACCTGAATAACAATAAAAGAATCGTGTGTGTATATATATATATGTGTGTATGTATATATATACATTTGTCTATCGACCTTCTATTTTTTTATCTATGAATGTATGTGCGTATGTGTTTGTGTATTTAAGTATCTATGTGCCTATTGGAAATCCTACAGCGTATACATGCCCTAACATTCAACATACTTTAATTTACGTGAAAGCTCAGGTTGCTACACACGCATGCAACGAAACACCTAAGTAAATAAACAGTACAGTCAATGGGTACAAAAGCCGGTATATCAGAAACTCAGATTCCACACTCAGAAACCGTAAGCCCTAAACAGAACTCATAGCCGAGACGCAGGAGCAAAGGCTATGGCCCACTGCACGTCTCCTTCCGCCACGCAGAACCTGCGACAATGAAGGGAGGGTAAAGAGTTTAGGGTTTAGGCTTTGGTGTTTGGGGTTTCGGATGTAGGGCTGAAGGCTCCGGTATTTTGCACGTCGGCGGGCTTGTTTTGCAGTAGGGTTTAGGGTTCACGGCTAAAGCTTGCGTGTGTGAGGCCCCTGCAACACTTTGCAAATAAATCCTAAACCCTAGACCCTAAAACCCCAAAAGACCAAAGCCCTAAAGCCCTAAACCCTAAACCCTAAGCCCTAAATCCTAAGCCTTAAACCCTAAACCCTCAAGCAGGTGTTGGGTTTAGGGCTGTGGGAAAAGCCAACTTAGACGTTGCAAACCCGCTCTCCCCCCCAACCCTAAACCCTAAAGGGTTTAGGGTTTAGGGTTTACCTCAACCCTAAACCCTGAACCCTAAATCCCACAACCTGCCAAAACCGTCACCTCCCATCCCGAAGCGAAGCTCCCTCCACGGCAGCCCTAAACCCTAAACCCTAAACCCTAAACCCCTAAACCCTAAACCCTAAACCTTAAACTCCAAACCTTAAGCCCTAAACCCTAAACCCCTAAAACCTAAACCCTAAAACCTAAACCCGAGGCCTGCCCAGTGGGGGTGCTTCCTCGCAGCCCGTAGCTAAGCCCACGGTGGCCTCGGATCGAAGGTTTTTGTTTTAAGGGCTTTAGGGCTTTAGGGTTTAGGGGTTTTTAGGGTTTGGGGTTTAAGAGGGTTTGAGGGTTTTAGGGTTTGGGCTTTTAGGGTTTAGGGTTTAGGGTTGAAGGGTTTAGGGGTTTAGGGTTTGGGGTTTTTGGGGTTTAGGGTTTTAGGGTTTGAGGTTTTAGGGTTTGGGGGTTTTAGG